CCACTCTATCCAGGATCTCCTAAATATATATCCTGCTTCCAGAGGTTGACAGTGGTAGCCGGGCACCATCTAGTTCTTCTGGTTTCATAGTTATACAGGCTGAGGATTGCATGGTGTACTAGTCCCTTGGACTATTGTTTCCATTTGTTTTTGGTTTTCTTCGTTCTTCTTTGCTCTGGACAAGGAGAGATCCATTGTTGCATTTAGATAGCCACTTGCAAGCTTTTAAGATCCCAGTCACTTACTCACTAACGTAGGATGTGGAATGTTCCTATGTAGGATGTTTTTGTGTAATATGTTATGCCAGCTGAGCTTGATGTCACCTGCAACCATGGTCCTGAGCTCACAGGTTCAACTACTCCCTCCCTCCCTCCAGGTAGCTGGCTGTGGCCAAGAAGCGACTACAACCTTGTCCCTTGTCAGAAGGATAGCTCTTTTGAGAGCACACACAACAGGATTTCTGCTGTGCCTTACTTTTACTTTCATGTTCGGTCAACAGACATTTACTGACTGTCTACCTGGGGCTCCTAATAAGCATATGTACTAGGGATATAAAGAGGAAACCTTGTCCTCAAAGAATTAAATTTAGTGAGCGCTCCATTTTCCAATAAAGGCCCTTAAAATATACTCCTAAAATCTGTCAATCATCTCCTCCAGCCATCCCCCCTTTTCTGGAAACACTGAGTTTATATAAACAACAAGATGCTTTATTGAAGGGAAAACTATCTAGGACTCATTTTTCATTAATTCATCCCTACTTAAAGACAGATTGCCTTACATGTAACAGCTACACACATAAAAGTTACAAAATTTTCTTTGACTTTAAAATGATAAGTGAAACACATTAAAATTCTCTAATTGAACAAGGTATACAAAGATTTTTCTTTCTTTTTTTTTTAAACAGTGAGAGCAAAATAATTTAGTTAGTTAGTTAGGTGCCGTCGAGTCGTCTCCAACTCATAGAGACCCTATGCACAGCAGAATGAAACACTGCCTGGTCCTGAGCCAGCTCCACAGTTCTTGCTATACTTGAGCCCCTCACCACTGCCACCGTGTCAATCCATCTTGTTGAAGGCCTTCCCCTCTTTTGTCGGCCCTCCACCTTACCAAGCATGACATCCTTCTCCAGGGAATGGTCCTTTCTGACAACATGACCAAAGTATGTGAGACGGAGTCTAGCCATTCTCGCATCTGAGGAGCATTCTGGCTGCACTTCCTCCAAGACAGACCTGTTAGTTCTTTTAATAGTCCACGGTACTTTCAGCATTCTTCGCCAACACCACAGCTCAAAAGCATCGATTCTTCTTCGGTCTTCCCTATTCATTGTCCAGCTCTCACATGCATATGAGGCGACTGAAAACACCATGGCTTGTGTCAGGCGCACCCTAGTCTTCAAGGAGACATCTTTGCCCTTCAGCACTTGAAAGAGGTCCTTTGTAGCCAATTTGCCCAGTGCTATACGTCGTCTGAAGTCCTGACTGCTGCTTCCATTGGTGTGATTGTAGAAGTGTTGATTGTAGAACCAAGTAATGTGAAGTCTGACAATTTCAACCTTTTTGCCATTTATTGTAATGTTGCTTTTAGGACCAGTTGTGAGGATTTTTTGTTTTCTTTATATTGAGATGTAATCCATATGGTAAACTGTATTCTTCAATCTCCATCAGTAAGTACTTCAAGTCATCCTTACTTTCAGCAAGCAAAGTTGTGTCGCTGGCATATCACAGGTTGTTAATGATTCTTCCTCCAATCCTAATGCCACATTCTTCTTCATACAGTCCAGCTTCCCAGATTATTTGCTCAGCATACAGATTGAATAAGTATGGTGAAAGGATACAACCCTGACCACTCCCTTCTTGATTTTAAACAAAAATAATTTACTGGAATATAAACAGAGAGCTGAATGAACATGCCACTAATGGAAAAAGGGAGTATTTTCTTATTCTTCTTCCTTATTCTTATTCTTCTTCCTTCCTTCCTTTTTGACTTTTTTCTCTTTCCCTTCCCTGTTTTTTTCCTCCTCTTCCCTCTTTCTAGTTGCCTTTTTTCTTTCTTTTCTTCTTTTGATTCTTCCCATCCTTTGTTTTTCTTTTTATAGTTTTCTCATTTTCTCTTTACTATTCTTTTACTCTTGCTCTTTTCTCATTCACCCCTCCCTCAGATAGTGTTTTTTCTCTTCATTTTTAGTCTCTATTTAAAATATATTTAAAAAATTTTCCTTCTGATTTATTGCCTTTCCTGTGTGTGTGTGCATGTGTGTGATTGTTCTTGCTTGTTTATGTGGTTTGTGCTTTTTGTTCTCTTATTTTTTTTATTATTATTATTGTTATTTAAATTTTTTATCTGAGTGGGAGACAGCAACAGTTTCTACACAACCCAACCATACCCATACCTCCTCAACCCCAACTACTGAGTCTGCGCCACCACTTGCTTCTGTACCAACTGACCAATGACACATGGTGGCCAACACCAGCCCAACTAAGATTTGTGCAGACACTCTCAATTCTCTATCACACCCACCAGGAGACAGGTGGTAAGAGCTTAAGTACTGAAACCAGCAAACAGAGGAGCACAGTACTCTGCTCACAAAGATATATCAAAATAAAATAAAGGAAAAAAAAAAAAAAAACCTGGGTGAATCACAGAACACACAAATACCAATTAAATATAAATACAACAACATCACAATGTCTTGGAGATAACTGACCATCCCAGTCCACATAAAAAAGCAAGATAAAGTAGTACAAACAAGGGACCAGAATACAGAGCCAGAAAACATCCCTGAGGAAGCAGCAGCGCTAGAACTCCCTGTCAAAGAACTGAAAAGAATTATATTTAGGTACCTTCAACAGATTGAGAGATAGATCAAGGAAAACACTGATGAAATTAAGGAAAACAGAAAAAATTCTAGAACAATTTAGAAAATTGACACAAGAACAAACTGACAAGATAAAAAACTAGAAATAATACAAAAACAAGAAATAGAAATCCAGAAGATTCATACTAAGATTTCAGAAATACATAACACATTGAATGGACTAGGGAGTAGAATCGAATCAATGGAAGACAGAATTAATGAGATT